AGTCCAATTATTGACGCTCGATTTAACTGTGACCTCATGAAGGACCTAGCTCTGAACACGTCTCTGCCAGAAGTCCTCCGAGCAGGGAACAACTTGGATGTTGACTGTGCTGTACCATTCATCAATATGTATAACAGGAGGCATGGTCTGGAAGAGGTAGGAAAAAAAGAACACGAGCCGTTGTTCCGCTCCGTGTTTCGGCGTCTCTTCAGCTTCAAGCCAGGCACAGTCAGTGCGGTAAACAAGTACATTACGGAGAACTATGTCAGCATGGATAGAACTGTTTGCTTTCATGTGCGCACGGGTGCATTTGCTTCAGACAGAGAGGAGTAGTAAGTGCGGGGCAGGTTCTGGCCCACTTTTTGACCTTTGACCTTTGGGCCAAATAAGGCACACTGTGTCGGTCGTGCTGGGTCTGGCCCCGGGACCCCCAGAGTTTGACCTTTGACCCCTGCCATGCCATAAATGTCATCATGTTCTTTTCCGTGGCGAACGTGCACTTGTGCACGTTCGGTGCATTCGTACCATGTACCAGGGAGTAGTAAAATACGTACTACTCCCTGATTCGCACATCGTAGATGTGCATTGCATGCAGTGACATATTGCGCATGCGCGCATACGCACGCGGAGCGTGCGAATACGTACTACCAAGAGTAGATTTAGAAAAGCGATCCTGTCAGCTTTTCTATTATTGTGTTCACATGGCAAGAAAAACGACACCGCTATGCTACGTAACTTTCTACGTAAGGTGCTCGGTATTTCACTTAGGCTACGTAAATCTCTACGTAAGGTGCTCGGTATTAGATCTACCAACGGGTGGAAGCCGCGTGCTGTGCACTGCACGGCAGACATTGTGTTGCAGTGCAGTCCGTGTTCGGATGTGCATGCGCAAGGAACTTCCTTCTTTGGAACTGCTTCTTGTATGAGCTGTTTCGGATATTTCGACTCCTGGCCTGGCTTATTTCGTTTCGGCGCTGCTGAGACCTCCTTTCGCGGAATATTACTGACAGGTGAGTTGACCAGTTCCCTTTGATTCATTTGCTTGTGTTCACTCTTTCATTTACGAAAAGTGTGCTGATCTTGGGCGGAATGCAATAAATAATGGAAAAGCTGACAGGATCTCTTTTCTAAATAATTTAGCTTTTCCGCTGCCGAGGCCTCCTTTTACGGAATACTCGATGACAGGTGATCTCTGAGTTGACCGGTTTCCTTCGATTCATTTGCTTATGCTCACCCTTTCATTTACGGAAACGTGTGCTGATTTTATTCGGATTTAGATCCATTTTTATCTCTTTGCCCTTGTCTACAGTGTACGAAGAACGCGAGTTCACGGTAAGGCTTACCGGTATGTTAAAATGCGTTGTCGAAATACTCATATTCATTGTCCATTGGAACGTTACAAGTAAGGCACTGGTCAGTGGCATACTATCGTTGGCAGTTCCCAATCTGGAGGGAAAGGTTCAAGGACCCATTGACCGAGTTTGCAAAATAAATTCGCATATCAGGGAAAATCTCCATTGTGGAGAGGTTCAGTAAACTTGTTTGCTTCATACGAAACAAGCCAATGGGTGCAGTATCGTCTCGTGAAGATCTCGTACTTGTATGATTGGATTTGTTTACTTGAGTCTGGGCTGTTTGATTTATTATTTGTGAGTACCGCCGAGATTGCACTGCCCCAAATAAAGTTTCGTGCCGCCAAAGCAAGAAGTACGATCTGCAATCTGTTTGTAGTACCTGCAAGAATGTGCTGTACATGTATCGTACTTTCTCTGTTGCTGTTTCAGTTGCCGTCATGTTGTTAAAGAAACGTTCAGTAGAGAGGTTCTGCAAAACGAAAATTCGAACGAAGTTTCTCGACAGTCCTTGCGAAAGTGTGTGCGAATTTTTGCACGAACTCTGCGTTCTGCACATTTTCGTAGTTTGCGCGGGCCAAGTGCACGTACGCCATGACCCGATCTCACGAAATGTCCTACGAGTACGACAGTTCATTTCGCGTTCCCTGCAAGTTTCGCGTCCAAAGTTGCGAAGTTTTGCACTTCATGGCAATGAACGAACCTTTTTACGCATTTTCGTTTTGCAGAACCTCTCTAGTGACTCATTTGTTTCATACGAGACGAGTCAATGAGTTGGTGTGGCTTAGAATCTTTCGCTGTAGAAGAAATCTATTCGTATGTCTATTGGAGAAATAATTGTATTCACTGGTTATAAAATAGGTTAAGACAAACTCACAGAATAAATACCATTGGTCCCTTGGTGTTCGTCCTAAAGAGGTTCGACTGGATATCATTCATACTCACCAAAAGATGTGTAAGATTTTATTATTATGGAGTGCCTTGTTTATCTCTCAGTACCTCCAACCAAAGCCTATCCTCTTTTATCCTCAGGATCAGTGTAGTTGTTGGAACGAGGTGTCGGACTCAGCAATGTATTTGTTTACATTTTAATACATGTTTATTGTTCCTCCTTTGTGTTGTTTTAGAAAATCGTGGACTACCAGTTTGAAGTCATTGAACTACTTCCAAAAGTTGTATCGACTTCAACAGGATTACGATTTCAGTGCAATATGATGCAGGATGACCTTATCACGATAACCCATGATTATAAACCATTATAAACACAGAATCAACAAAAACATCTGCGACAAGTACCTTGTTACATTTCTCAAATAAATCTGATCGAGGGTGGGGAAATCTGAAATATCTGAAAGGCAAGACAATTTTATGACAGTCATGAAACACCCTAGTAAAATAAATAAAATAATAATAATAATAATAATGAAATTCTGCTACAGCAACATGCACAGAATGACCTCCTTATAAAAAAAGTATCACCACTGTCCACCACTACACTCACATGTATCCCCGCAGAAGAACATGCTAGTGCCATTTTCTGCAAGAAAAGGCTTGCACATCAATGCGTATGATACGGTGTAATTGACATGATGTGAAGGCCATCATTTACATAATTATTGATATAGGGCATTCCATTGGTGACAGAAAAAACAAAAGAAATTATAGCAATAAAAACTGCTTTATGGCAGTTTTCTAAAAAAGGTTATTGTGTTCTCGTCCATGGACCCCGTCTAAAAAGTAAGAAATTAACGAAATGTGATAGCCGAAAATTAAAATTTCACACAAAACCTCACAATAATCACATACAGAATGAAAAGCTACATGCAGAAGACCTGTAAAAGGCCCTAGGCTTGTGGGACTGCCGTATTCAAAATTTAATAATAATAATAATAAGACCTTTTCCCCTCGTGATCCTCTTTCCTATGCATGCATGACATGCATGTTGCCAATTGTTGTGCGGTACAAGTTTAGTGTTGAAAGCAGCATTTCAAGTGTTGTGATTATTGTGAGGTTTTGTGTGAAATTTTAATTTTCGGCTATCACATTTCGTTAATTTCTTACTTTTTAGACGGGGTCCATGGACGAGAACACAATAACCTTTTTTAGAAAACTGCCATAAAGCAGTTTTTATTGCTATAATAAACAAGAGTGTGCAACTCCGGATCTCTCCTGCACAATCTGCGGATACCCCGCGCCCACGGCGGAATTTTTTGTTTACGTCACCTTTTTTCAGAGAAACGCGGATTCTGCCGCAGAGCAGTGTGAGAGCACGTGCTGGGCACCGACCTTGTAGTGTAAAGCCCAGCCAAGTGCACGAGGGAAAACTCTCCAAAAGGCTCGCAGCGCGTGCGTCGTCGAAAAGATTACGTCAACAAAAAATTCCGCCGTGGGCCAACCCATCCGCGAGTTGCACACTCTTGTTTATCTACTCTTGGTACTACTCCCTGATTTGCACATCGTAGATGTGCAGTGACATATTGCGCATGCGCGCATAAGCACGCGGATCGTGCGACCTTCAGTGGCCCTGCGGAAAAGACGCAGTACAACACAAGGTGTACTGTAGTACACGTTTCATTGTAGTGTGCACATGTGATAGCCGACCTCATATACGCTGTACGGGGAGATTTTTCCTCAGTATGTTGTAGGCAGTGCTGGAGGTGACGTGACGATGGCGGAGCCAAGTGCAAAACGATCCAGGCAGCCCAAACAGCCCACCTCGAGTGCCGTGCGAGGTTTTTTGAAAAAGTTTTCTTTGCCAGGTTCAGGCACTGATCCTCTCGTCTTTTTCAGCAGCCATCATGACGAGCTCAGACAGGTTCTCCTCGAGGAGCTTCAGTCTCACCCGTTCAAGGTGGTTTTAGTTTTGAGGGTGGAGATGACACGAGAGTCGGCCACGGGTAGTACGTCTGCCGTCCCGTTTTTTAGAAGTAGACCGGCTCGGATCCTCAGCGAAGGGGATATTGATAGTGCAGTCAAGACGATGGTGGCGAGGATCACTGGTCTTATTGATAAGTGGGTGCAGAACGGATCCAACTGGACCGTTTCTCGAGTGAGACAGCTGGATGTGTCGACAGCAAAGTACACTCCTCTTCGAGGTGAGTTTCTGTTCATCCGGCAGTGTTTGTTCGAAGCCTGTCGAATTTCTTGTGGAAAGTTGTAGATGTATTGTTTTGTACTAGATGTACAGTTTTTCGTGATTGTCGAGAGGGTGTAGTTGTGATGTGGTGTTACTCTGAGCAAAGCCTTCGTTGTATTTTTGTGGTGTACTGTAGGTGGTGCAGCTGATATCCCGCCCAAATTAGAAAAAAAGAAGGCCATCATTAACGTAAAGAACAACGATGACAGGTGTTTGATGTGGGCGTTATTGTCAGCGATGCATCCCATCGACAACAACCCACAGCGTGTATCCAGGTACACCCAGTACGTTGATGAGCTGCGGTTCGATGATGTAATGTTCCCTGCAACGCTCCGTGATGTACCCAAAGTGGAGTTACAGAATGGTCTTGCAATCAATGTGTTTGGCTACGAGTCGAATCTGTACCCACTCTATCTCAGCGAGCGACAGGAGACTCCCATCAACCTGCTTCTACATGACAACCACTTCACATGGATAAAAAACTTCAGTCGTGCATGTGAGAATAAGAACAGGGGGGGTGCTTCCGATGCCTCTCCGCACACAAAACAGCAGACTCCCTGCAGCATCACAGCGAGAGATGTCAGGTGATGAAGCCCGTGCCAGTAGTCATGCCCACAGCAAAGGACAGCATCCTCAAATATACAAATTTGAAGCACAGGATGGTGGCTCCATATATCATTTACGCTGATACGGAGGCCATCATTGAGCCGATGGAGGAACAGCATGGCAGCAGCACTGTACGCACAGCACGTCATGTACCATGCAGCATCAGGTATGTTTTGTTGTTGGTGTTGTTTTTGACTAATGTTTGCTGTACTCATACCTGCACAGTGCTTGCTGTTATTCCTTCTTGTCTTGTTCACAAATTAGGTGTTCGTGTTGTAGTATGTGCATTTTGTGTGATTCCATTTTTTCAAAATCACTTATTCTTACTTTCCCTCTTCTTTTATGCTCTTGTAGATATGCTGCCATCCGATCCAACGGTGAAGTCCGTGGTGAGTTTGACGACTGCAGTGAGAATGCCATTCACAACTTTTTCGACAGTCTCAAAGAGTTGGAAGGCAGTATCCAGGAGGATTTGGCTGATACCAAGCCAATTCGCATGACAGCAGAACTGGAGCTTGAGTTTCAGAACGCAGTCAACTGCTGGATATGTGACGCAGTACTTGGAGAAGATCGTGTTCGTGATCATGATCATCTCACTGGTAAGTATTATAATTTTTTCGTTTATTCTTGTTGTTCATGTGCTTTGCAGTTGTGTGTAGATATGCGCATGATGTATATAGTGCATTTTCATGTCTTTGTAGCTGTTTGCATATGTGTTTTATCACGGTGTATTGAATTGTATTGTCTGTGGTATCACCTTCACTGTAGATGTTTACTATGTTTGTGTATTCCCCTCTTTCTGAATATTTGCACAGGCGACTACCGTGGTGCTGCACACTACCAGTGTAATATTCAGCTAAGTATCTACCCAGATCGCCAGATCATTCCGGTTGTGTTTCACAACCTGAAAGGGTACGATGCCCACCACCTCATCGCCCACATTGGTATGACCGAGGTTGAAGAGGTGGAGTACGAGGACTCTAACCAGCGTAAGCGGATTAAGAAGGTTGGTGAGATCAGTGTCATCGCCAACAACATGGAGAAATATATTTCATTCAAGTGGCGTCAGTACCGCTTCATTGACTCCATGGCCTTCTTGAACTCCTCTCTGGACTCGTTGGTGAGCAACACCCCGGAAGATGCCTTCAAGCTTACTCGTACATTAGCCCATCATGACCTTCTCCGGCGTAAGGGTGTCTACCCCTACGAGTACATGGACTCCTTTGCTCGGTTTGATGAGACACAGCTGCCACCTAAATCAGCATTTGAGTCTAGTTTGACTGGAGAAGGTATCAGTGATGCCGACTATGCCCATGCTCAGAACGTATGGCAGGTAAGCAGCTTGTGCCTTCTGTATTGACCCTCGGAATTTCCCTGATGCCATGCTTTTTGCATTATTGTGCTCTACTTATGACTTTTGAATGCTGTTGTGATGTGCTCTACTCATTTTTTTGTACTCATTGCTCTCTATCTGTGGATATGTGGATGCTTGTGTGTATGGATGTGTGCATGCGTGTGTGCGTTGCTGTTTTTTGTTTTTTTTGTTTTTTTGTTTTGCAGACATTTGAGTGCAGTACAATGGAGGCCTATCATGACCTCTATTTGCAAACAGATGTCTATCTTCTAGCAGATGTCTTTGAGCATTTCCGCAAGACGGCATACAAGACGTATGGGTTGGATCCAGCTCATTACCTTACTCTCCCAGGTATGTTCATCAGTCTTTGTTGTTGTCCAATGTATTCTCTCCTTTAGATGGTGTTCTCTGTTAGTATTCTTGTGCTTTCTTGTCGGTGTATTTTTATACTTTTTGCATGGTGTATTGACTTTCGTGTTTGTGTTCTGGTGTGTTGCATGGTGTTATGTAGGATATGCATGGGATGCTCTACTACGGTTCACCCAGATTGAACTGCAGCTGCTCACGGATGTAGACATGCATCTGTTTGTCGAAGCTGGTCTACGTGGGGGCATCTCAATGGCGTCGCAGCGGTATGGCAAGGCCAACAACCCAACGATGGATCAGTACAATCCTGCCGAGCCCACATCATACCTGCTATACCTTGATGCCAACAACCTGTATGGCTGGGCTATGTGCCAGAGTATGCCGACATCTGAGTTTGCCTGGTGTGACAAGAACCTGTCCGAGATACTGGCACAACCTGTAGATTCGAGCACTGGGTTCATTGTGGAGTGTGATCTTGAGGTACCCTCTTCGCTGCACCACTACTTCAATGATTATCCACTTGCACCGGAAGTGATGAGAGCATTCTCAGATAAGCTATCACCATACCAGAAAGCACTTGTGGAGGAGCTCAAAGTGTCAGCCGTAGATGGAGTCAAGTTGACACCCAGTCTCCTACCCAAGTCCAAGTATGTGTTACACTACCGTACACTGCAGCTGTATTCGCGTCTGGGCATGGTGGTGACCGCTGTTCACAAGGTGTTGGGATTTCAGCAGAGTGCCTGGATGGCTCCCTACATCAATCTGAACACTGCACTTCGCACGAGGGCTACAACCGACTTTGAGAAGAGCTTTTACAAGGTAAATGCAACCGTTGTGTGCAGTCTTGTATGTTGTTGTTGGTTGTTGTTGTTGTTGTTGTTTTTGTTGTTGTTGTTGCATGTATGGTGCAAGTGTGACGTGGAGTATGCTAATTGAAAATATGCTGATGTGAAGGAATGGCATGATATGATTCTCATGTGTCATGTTTGCCTGTTTGTGTGCTGCAGCTGATGAACAACTCAGTCTTTGGCAAGACGATGGAGAACGTTCGTAATCGAACACGCATCGATCTCTTGCGGGAAGAAAGTGAGGAGCAGGTACTGAGGGCAGTGAGCAAGCCTACATATGTGCGGCACGACATTTTCCCGAACGGGCTTGTCGGAATAGAAAAGCAGCACACTGAGATCAAGCTCAACAAGCCGGTCTATGTGGGTATGTCGATACTAGACCTGTCAAAGTTGCACATGTACTCCTTCTACTACGATGTGCTGAAGGAGCAGTACGGTAGCAGAATCCGGCTGTTGTACACCGACACCGACTCTGTTATTGTGCACATAACCACCGGTGATGTTTATGCAGAGATGGATCTGTCTCTGTATGACACCAGCAACTTTCCCACTGACCATCCTCAGTACACTTCTGCCAATAAGAAAGTGGTTGGCAAATTCAAAGATGAGCTTGGTGGGAAATCCATGGTGGAGTTTGTAGGTCTAAGATCGAAGATGTACTCCTACATCGGACAGGAATCGGCCAAACGGGCCAAGGGTGTGCGAAAGGCAGTCCTGGCAAATACCATCACCCACAAGGACTATGTAGATGCACTGCTCAGTCATCGTGTGTCTTCCAGGCCTATGACGGGTCTCCGATCACATTGCCACACAGTGTATGAGGAGGTAACCACCAAGGTGGCATTGTCTCCATTCGACTGCAAGCGGTACATACTGGATGATGGCATGGCCACACTTGCCTATGGTCACAAGGACATTTAATGGGCAGAACCCCACATTGAACATGTTTCATCATTTTCATGCAAAACTTCCCGCCATTCTTCTGTCTAATATTCCTCCTTTCTTGACATGTGGAGCTGGCTCCAACAATATTCATTTTTGTTTAATATTTCAGGCTTGTGCCTCAATCATATTGCAGGATATAGTGCATTGTGCGGTATAATAATCTTCATCGCATCATCAAATATTACCCTACAAACTTTGGTTTGCAGTGTGTGCGCAGCATAGTCCATATATCATCAAATTGATCAAGTTCAGTATCTGCGGGCATATATTTCCCCAGCTTGAGAAAATGCTTATATACTTGCGTAAATTTATGCTCACAATGATGACATAAAAATGAGATTAAAGTCCATATGATGGCCAGTATGAATGTAGTTATGATGCTTGTTCTTTCGGCTGGTGAGGTTTGAGTGGATTTCTCTGCCACCACATTGCTGGCTCCGAACAGCACTGGTGCAAGCAGGAGTAGTTGTTGAGTAAGTTTAACTTTATTCAAACGCCCCTTCACTTTCTGATAGGTTCCGCTGTTGCTCGCAGTTGATGGCTCGGCTGATGGGGTGTCATTGCTTGAGGAGTCCATCTTGATCTTACTGTACCGGGAATTTTTCCTCACATCCATTCAACCATTAGTATGAGCAAAATTATGGCCAAAAAGGCTGAACGGGGATGAGTCCATACTGAGCGATTTGACCAGTTGAAGTCGTGTGTAAGGGTGTTTTCAAAACTTTGCCAACCTCCTTTTTCCGCCAACCAGGGCGAAACATTGGTGGTCATGTAATCTAAGTGCCAGGTCATGACATGATGTACATAGTGCAATCCCAGTTCCGTTGAATTCTCCATACAGATGTTCGCTAACTCGCTGCTGAATAAGTACAGGGCCACAATTTTAACATGGCTGATACCGTTTTTAAATAGTTCTTTTGCAAATGTAAGAAATTGCGTACGACCCGTTCTGGAGTTGAAACACAGTTGCTGCATCAGCACCTGAAATCTCGATCCACTGCGCCTGACTAAGCGACACACTCGTACCAAAACTCTAGAAAGCCGAGATGGTTTCGACTCCGACGACGATACACATTGTGGTAGGTCTACATGACCTTGTTCTGCCAGTCGATCAGCAATAACAGCAGAAAGCAGATTTCTTGCAGTAGTCTGCATTGTGCACTGCATCATCGTTTCCCTCTACTACTATCCTTGGAAATATACCTCATTTCTTTCTGCGATACCCATTGGTTGAACTTTTCGGGGTATCCCTTCCACTTGACCAGCAAACTACCCTTACGTCTTTTCAACACCTTATCGATTCGAAATGTAGCTTGCGCAGTCTTCATGAGCTGCTGTTTGTAGAAGCTTCCTGTGATGGGTTCATCGGCAAGGTCTTTCACTTTGTAGGTGACCGGATAAGTGGGGAGAACCTTACGAATCACAAATACCTCTTCGGTCCAGTTGGGTGTGTATCCCTTCGCAAACATTCTTTTTTCCACTGTAATGCGAACTTTATCTCCGACTTGAAAGACAGGCTCATCCGCAATGGGCTCATACAGTTGCTCAATCGGTTTCCCTAGGGAGGCTTCCATGGGGGTCATCCCAATTGTACGGTGTTTACTATTGTTGTAGTTGTCGACAAGTTTTTGCAGCACATCGATGTAGACGTTGGTCGAGCGAGCGGTGAAGTGCTTCCACATACGAGATTTTAGCATTCTGTTGAAACGTTCAACGACGACGGCTTTTCCTTCATTCTCTGTACTGTACATGTGAATGTCGTTTTTCTTCAACCACTCCTTGAACGTTTTGTTATAAAATTCCGAGCCATGGTCCACCCATAGTAGCTTAGGTTTCCGATTGGTTGTGATGGTTTTAAAGGCTGAGACAACACTATCCCCGGTTTTGCTCTTAAGTGGCACACTCCAAGCATACTTCGTGTATATGTCTATAACATTGAGAATATATCTAATTCCTTCGTTATATTCGCTAAAGGGCTGCATTTCTACGAGATCAGCACTCCATACATCGTCCTTGCCGTAAACGTCCACTTTTCTGCGTGGGAAATGTACTCGCTTAGGTTTATGTAGCTCATCAGCAAGATCATCTTGCCAATCCCCACCAACCATGACTTGATCGTTGTGAAGGGTATCGTGAGAGAACGTACAGGAGAGGAATTCCAATACTCCGTCTATACCAGTCTTTGAGAAGACTTTCGCTACCAGGATGGCATAACGTCCGCAGACCGCTGTGCTTCTATCTTGAATGACTTGCGTATTGGTGTACAGGTTGCAGCCGGAATAAACATTAAGAAAACATTGTTTTAGTTCCGGTTCTTTATAGTCTTCGGCCATCTGCATCAATGCACGCCCGAAGCTGTCAAATATCAGAACATTATCGCCTTCCCTACACACCGTCAGCCAATGGTGTCCCCCTTCGGGTTTGTCCAATATCGGGAGTATGTTGTCCGTGTTACACACACAAAACTCGCCATGGTTTAAGGCAGGCAGGAGATCATAGCTAGTCACACCTCGGAACCCGCGAATGTGTTTCAGCGCAGACTCGATGTCCACGTTGCTCAGCTCCACATCCATACCTAGTATACCAGGGATTTTCCTTTCAGAATAGCAAGTGTTCGGTAATAGGGACTCCTTGTATTGCTAGCCACTTGCCGATTCTTGAAGACACTTTTGATAAAGGTGGCATCATCAGCCATGTACTCTTTGAGACCTAACATAAATTGTTCTGCGTTGATAAGTTTTGCTTCTTTGGTTCGAGTGTAGGCGTTGATCATATCTCCTATACCGGAATATTTGTCTGCGGATCCTGGTATGGCTAGAAGCTGAGTTCTTATTGCAGCCAATTTCACATTACTCCTCGAGTGGTTTGGAAGCGCATTAAGGTTGGCTGCTGCTGCAATCTGCTGGAATGGATAACGCGACAGGTGAAACTGATTGATTTGGTTGACCAGAGTAGCATAGTCTTTGAGGATTTGAAATTCGAGGGTATCTCTAGTGTTTTCCATTCTACCTCTGAGCCCCTGCTCATCCTCCTGATAGACTTGGTGTAGTTGCGGCCTTGCACTGAAGTGGCTGCTTTGCAGAAAGGCTTCCGGTATCTTATGGTCTACTAGGAGTTTACCAAATGTATTTATCACTATTCTATCAAACTTTGGCTCCATGGCGGTTTGCAGTGGGATACTAGCGGCAGAGATGTTTCGCCTCATTCTAGCCTCTGCTATGGACCCTCTTGCCATTCCAGAACTCTGATCATAATCGAGGAGATTCGATGCAACAGCATTAGTAACCGAGGATGGGTTTATCAGATCCGGATTGTTCTTAAATGTTCTATCATACATAGCCTTTACTCGAGGGTTTGATTTCACTTGGGAGATAGGAAATGGGCGATCTTCTTCGGGGATATAGGCCAGTGCTTCTCTCACTTGCCCGGAAAATTTCTTATAATCTCCACCTCGTACTGGAGGAGTACCTTGAACCTCCCACATGGTGTCACCTTTACTCAGGATATCCTGGGGTTTTTGTAATATCATCTTCATGGTCTCGTCTCTCTTCTCTGGTGGTATTGGGTGAGTACGGCCGTTGCACTCGATGCAGATAGGTTGGAAGTGCACCCGTATTCGCTCCATTTCTGTACAACGGGCTTAATCAATCTCATCCACTCCTACCCCCCGTGCTTCACAGCCAGCAATCCACTCAAAACTATCAACTTCGGATTCGATTTGGACAATTAGTTTTACTCTAGGGAATGTGACCTCCCAGGTGTCTCCAATCTTAGTGACGGTAACCGCATCCCACTCACTGTGGGTGGGTATAATGCGAACACTGACACCATCCATACTTACTATAGGCAGAAAATATTTTATTCAAACACAACCTTCGAGGTTATGGAATCACAGTGAGTATAAAACTCATTGCGTGATGCATCGACCGCTAGAAAGGGTCTCCAACAAGCTTCTAATAGTTTTTCATAGAGTTTATAGACAAGATTAGCTTTCAAACAGGATCCGCCAAATAAAGTATGAAGATAGCGTTTGATGTTGGATTTATCTGTAAAGCGAAAAAGATAGAGGAAGTTGGTATTTATCTTCATATCTTTGATGTTATCAAAGCTTTGAGAGAGAAAGAACACATTAAGTTCATAATGATGGCTATACATGGTGAAAAACTTGTAAAGACATTCCCTCTGACTGCCATGCTTCAGTCCCATGACACGTATATCATCTATAATGACAAAGGACTTGGGCTGAATGTCCGTCTCTTCGATACACTCAGGCATTGCACTGTAATGTTTCAACTCCGTGCCTTCCTGCCTGTATTGCTCCGGTGAAGTATTGGAGATGACGTAAAGTCGTTCCGGCTTTACCGCTCGAAGTATTTCCTTGAGGTAATGGGATTTCCCCATGCTGCTCTGACCCAGAAATAGCACATTTTGTCCCCATGTTTGGAGGGAGGGGAGAATCTCAGAGTACTTGGGTTGAGATCGTAGAGACAGACCTGCTACGCGGAGTAAAGAGGCAGACCCTCCTTTCAGAGACAGCAGTGATGAAAAGTCCATACTTACTATAACGAGAAAAAATTAAATGTTAAAGCTCTGAGGTATAAACGAAGGGTTATGGGTATTTTCGATGCGAGTTCGGATACGGTCAGTAATGGTTTCTGGAGGGTTTGAGGATCGTCGTCTTCTACCTCTCTTCTTAGCTCCTGACTTGATGCCGGACTGTACTCTCGACTTTGCATGTTCAAACAGCTGCCTTCCCAGACCTTCAACCTCCCTCTTCAAACCGTCTCCTTTGCGCTTCCTTGCACGTTGCCCCCTGGAGAATTTGTTAGTGGGTGGTAGCTTCGATCGTCTTTTCTGAGATCGTCTCTTGCTTGCTCGAGTACTGCTTTTTCTACTATTTCCCTTTCGACCCCGGCCAAATACCTTGTCCACCAGATTGTCACCGACGGACGCTAGCGCCCCCATAGCTAAGGGTGCACCAACGGTTTTCAATATGGGTAGGGCTTTAGCCACGAGTCCCGGTGGAATGCTCAGTCCGCCTCGCTGCATCATGGGTTCACGGCCGGCTACCATCTGACGTCTGATGGACTCGCCGTCTTGACCTCGACCCAAGAGCATGGGAAGAAGCGACATGCCTAACATCGCCCCCATCCCAAGCCCACCCCTCTGGGTGAGCTTTTGGCCTTGTTCGGGGTCTTGCATTCTTTTTCGAAGCTCCTCAGCCTGTGCACCTCCAAAGATGTTTTTGATGAAGCCCCAGATACCAGACCCGTATTGTCTTTCCAAAGTCTGTAGATCACCTCCCCACGCTCGGGGTGTGGTTTCCAAATCTCCTCCCTGCATTGTTACTATAACGTGGAAATATTTACAC